CGAGGCTGAACTCGAATTATGTCTAATGAGCTGAGCCAAAATCTGAAGCAACAGGGAAACTCTCTGGGAAATATATATAAGTGCCAAAAGGAAGGGGAGGTTCGTTCTTAAAATCGACAAAAAGGGGGGAAGGAGGGTGGCTGTGAATGTGAAGGAAATGCCTGTTGGCCCCTCCAGTCACGAATACATAATTACAATCGAAAATGCTTTTCATTAATTTCAAGTGCGCTTCAAGCTTCCGACAAACAGGAAAAAAAAAAACATAAATTAAATATAAAAGGAAGAACAAGAAACAAAAATTTTTGTGTTATTAAAATAATCTTGTGTAATATTAATTCGAAATTTCGTCCTCTTCCCCATTTACTCATTTTGGTCAAAGTTTTTGGAAGTGGAGCACGTGGCCCTTACAGGGTAGAAAATTAGCAGGACAGGAAGAGGTAGCTTAGCTTAAGTTCTTAGGGAAATTAACTTTTTAAAAACTACTCTGTAAACATAAACCTAGAAACTGATGAAGGACTAGATTTTTATATTCTAATCTAATTGAGAGACTTTCTTTGTTATGGGAAAAAAGATGAATATTTTTACCATAAAATATGCACTTTTGATTTTAAGGAAAAAAAAAACAAATGTTATTTAGTTTTTTGTATTATAACTTGACTAATATTTGTCCTATAGTTAAAAAACTAAATGATTTAAAAAGCTGACGATCTCAACTTTCCATCCATGCCAATGTCTGCTTATTTGTGAAAAATTCATAAATCTTCAAATTTTCACTTTTTTTGTAAGGGGAAACATCATCAAAATTTAGCGAAAAAAGGACAACATTTTACTTTTTTAACCTGGGATACAGTTTTCTTGGAATTTTAATTACGAGTTCAACGAGGTATTACATTCCATATTTGGACCAATATTAGCTTAGTTATGGGAATAATAAAACCACTTTGGGGGGGAAAGAGGAGAAATCAAATTTCGCATTTTCGGTAAGGGGTAACACTATTAAAATTTGCAAAAAAAATGACAAAATTTTGACATTTTAATCTGTGAATACAGTTCGACGAGGAATTCAAAAACAAACTCAACGAGGTATAACATTCCATGATTGGACCATTATTGGCTTAGTTATGAAGAAATTACTATCGTTTTCGGGATAAAATGAGGTTAATCCCAAGTTCGCATGTTTGATAAATCAAATTTTTCGAAAATAAGTCAAAATTTAAGATTTTTAGGTGTTAATGCAATTATGTTAGAATTTTATTTACCAGTTAATCGGTCTATGATTTTCTACATTTAAACCATCTTTCGCAAAGTTGTGATAAAAATGCTGAATATTTTAAACTAAAAAACAGGATTATGATTTCTTACACTGCATTTTAATATTTGTATAAAAATATAATATATAATATAACTTAAATTTGTCTAAATGAAAATATGCAGCGACTCTTTTGTTCAGCTAACAACCAAAACTCAGCTTCCCTAATAAACTATTGAAAAACTACTTTAGAACTTGTATATCCTACGCCCACGTCCACCCAAAAATTAACTCTTCCCCCGGCAAGAAGAGCGCCCACACAATTTGGCTTGCCAAATCGTGACTGAATCTTCGAGCATTTCAATTTGTTTTCAACTTTCAAGTTATCACAGGACCAATTATGTGGCGTCGTTTTGGGGTGTAGAGATGGGAATTATGAGCCACTGGATTGATACCCCTGCGAGGATAATATATATATATATAGACGTATAGTATTTCGAACCGAGAAGAGGGAAAAGTTTCTAATTGTTTTTTAAGTTTCTGCTACCGCTACCCTACCCCCCTCCTCAGCAGCCCCCAGTTGAGTTTAGTGCTGCGGGCAAATTAAGCCACTGAAATATGCAACTAACCTGAAAAAAGCCAACAGCAAAGTTTTGAGCTTAGCCAGTTAGCAAAATTTAGCAATAAACTTTTATTAAATCGATTTTAACACTTGACTGAGAACGTCGACAAGATGATGATGATGGTGTTGTTGTTGTTGCTGCTTCTGATGCTGCTTCTCCTCCTGCTGATGATGATGATGATGAAATACCTCTGTATCTTGTATCTGGATATTTCAACCATTTTGTCTCTTGGCCAGAAAACAGGAATTTCAATTCCAGTCACACAAACTTTTTGTCGCCAAGCATTTTCCTTTGCTTTCTTGCTGTTTTTTTTTCTTCTCCTTCTTCTTTGCTTTCTTTTTTTTTTTACTTGCTTGCTGCTGCTTCTCAAGAACATAATGAATTTTTACAGTTAGTTGGCTCGTGATTCATTTTCTTGAAGGCCAATCGTGTCCTGTGAAAACATCAAAAGAAGCTGCCAGCCAGCCAGCTAAGCTAGCCAACCAGCCGACGAAGGGGAAAGAGGAAGAAAGTTTCGCCACGGCAATAGTTTATTCCACTTTGCTACCAATTAGAGCATTGAATTGTGCCAACAGCAGGTGCACAATCATCAAAATACCACCCATGTCGAACCCAAAACTCAAACTCAAACACAAAACCCGAAACACGAAGTCGAATTTCCACCGAAGAACGGACGAGGTGGGCAATTCATTTGTGATATTATATTGCAGTCGGTCGGTCGGTTGGTTGGTTGGTTGGTCTCGATGGCAATCCCCTAATGGGGTTTATTGAGACATCATCAATCTAACTTTAGTCCACTTCCGTAGCGATTTCCTTCTACTTACCCCCGGCTACTCCGCTACCATTTACCAGGTAGTTTGTGCCGTGTGCAATGCGGCCAACACAAAAGTTCCAATAAAATGGCCAATTCCAGGCAACACAATTGCCAACACAATGGCAAATGCCAAGAAAAACAGAATCGGTTTTGATTTGGCTTCAATACACGTCTGCCGCCGCCCCATAGTTTTCAAATATTGTAGGTCTTTCTTTCTGCTTTCTCTATTAGGTTTTGATCATACAAAAAGCGAAGCTTATGCTCGTTCATTAGGTTGCAGCGGAAAAGTTTTAGGTTGAGGTTGATAGAAAATATGAAATATTGAAGTTTCTTTTTTTGGGTTTAAGAAATCTAAGAACATAAAAATATACATCTTAGAGAGCAGATTGTAAGTTGCTTGAAAAAATCATCGAAAAGCCATAGAAACCCCATTAAAAACTAACACCCAATCTGAAAATCTTAAGAGCTAATATTTGAAAGTTCAAAATGCAATCCTTTAAATGTTTTAATTTAATTTACCTTTTTTTTTGCTTGAGTGTTTTGAAAAGAAGAATTATTCTTAGAAAAATCTCCTCTTAATGTCTTATTCACAAAGCAAACAGAGATGAAAAATATAAACTCAGTGCTTAACCTCAAGGATTATGTTTTGGTAGTGAAATTCACTTACTTTTGGCCCCAAAACAATTTGCAGCAAATTCCCAACACTCGAGGCCCGAAAAAGTATGCAACAGAATTTTCCACTTTACTCATGTCAAAGTCTTGCCACCACTTTCCCCCTTCCCACTCAGTTTTTTTTTCGTTTTTCACCTTTTTGAATTGTAAGTGGGCAAAGGTCTTGTCTAGAAAATATAAAAAAAAATAAAAATAAGAACATTTTTTATATATATATTTAAGTCTAAGTAAAAATAAGAAAACTTTTTGCCAACCATCTAACGTTTCGTTTTTTTCCCCACTCTGTTTCTTTTCAGGTGAGTAAACGCAATTTTCCTTGACCAGAAAAAGAACACATTGATGTGTAAAAGTGAAATCCCCTTTGATGTTTCCTTGCGGTTTCTTCACCCGGGGAAATCTATGAATATGTAAGGGGGTTTGGGAATATTTTTTGTGGGTTTTCTTTTATTTTTCTTATTTTTTTTGTTGTTGTTACCGTTGAGGTAAGTTCTTGCACCGGAAGTGTGCCACAAACGAAGGAATAATATTTTTTGTGCGGATAAACCAAAAGCACAGAAAAGGGCAGCTGCCTAGAAATTTGGTAATTGCTTCATTAAGTGTTTGCCTAATTTCGTTCGAATTAGCTGCTAGCTGTGTGTGTGTGTGTGTGTGTCCTGTGTAGTGTTTTTCATGCAAACAAACACAAACGCACAGGCACGCATACACATATACAGCATCTTATTTGTGCTTAATGACTGCCACTCGAAATAGCCATTAAACCACCCAACCACCCAACCACCCAACCACCCAACCATCATTCTACCATCATTAAGTGAATCTCTTTTTCTCGATTTGCCTTCAAATTTTTTTTGTTGTAACTGTTGCAGTCCAAAGTTCTCCTCAAAAATGTTACGAAAATTGTACGACAAGCATAGGGCTTTAAGGAAGAAAGCTTTTTACTCTCTTAGATTTGATATGTAAACTCACCACATAGGTTTAAGAGAGTTTCAGGTTCGAAGAGCGTAATACGAAAATAAGGCAGGACGAGGGGTTTGTTTTCCTTTCGGTTTATTTGATTGCTTTAAATGGTTCTGAAGTGCTAGCTAGGGAATCAACAGAGAAGATGAAGAGCTGTCTGAAATGGGCTTAAGTTTGATTTTTGGAGAATATTTATTTTAATTATAGTAAAAATATTTATCTCACAAAAAGGTGCTTTTTATGAAAATAACAAAAGAAAAATATATACAAAGATATACGAGGTGTGTTCAAAAAGTAAGGTGACTCTTCAAATTTCGCGAATTTCAAATTTTTCGATTATCGAAACCTTTTAGAAGTTATACGAGGTGTGTTCAAAAAGTAAGGTGACTTTTCAAATTTCAAATTTTTCAAATTTTTCGATTATCTTCAGTTTTGGGAACAAGAAAAAGTCACATGGGGCCAAATCCGGTGAATATGGTGGCTGAGGCATTATTGTGGTGTTGTTTTTGGCCAAAAAATCCAAATCCTTTGATCCATATTTTTCGATAGCAAAAAATCGCCGAGCTCGCAAAACAACTTGTAACTTTACGCCTCTCACAACCAAACAAAAGAGGATGTTCCATTGAAACTTGGTACAGATGTTAGGGAAGAGTGTACCAATATAACAAAACAAAAAAATCGATAATCGAAAAATTTGAAATTCGCGAAATTTGAAGAGTCACCTTACTTTTTGAACACACCTCGTATATTAATAAGATCAGAGTTTAAAAATTAGGTTTAGGTTACAGAAAGTAGTTTTCAAACTAAAAAAATTTATTAGGAAACATCACAAAAAATCAGTCATAACAGTTATTAACCAAAAATTCTCTCAAGCCGGCTAAAACAAGATCGCAATCGCTCTTCACTATTATGATTTTCCAGCGATTTTCACCTGCTCAAAACACAAAAGCTTTTCATTTTCTACCACACTTCATGAGAGACAACAAATTAAGAGATTGGGAGTGTAAAAGCAAGAGAAGAAAAGCCAAAGAAGAGGTTTTCCGATGCAAATGCCATTCGGTTTTCCTTTCGGCTTTGGTATTAGTGCCCACAGACACCAACACGCAAACATACCAATACACACACACACCAATACACATACACAGCGGATGCTGACTGTTTGCAAAAAGAAAATGGAACAGAAAGCCCAACATCACAAAGTTGCCCGCCATCTCTCCACGTTTCTATGTGTGCGTCTGTGGGTGTGTGTATGTGTGTGAGTGTTATTTGTGCGTAAGTATGCGTGTTCGTTTCTGCTCGGCAAAACGAAAACGCTCGTCTGCAGCACTTATCTTCATGGGATAAATCTCGCAACTGGCCGCCGCAGTCTGTTTTCTATACGGGCGTAAAGCGGTCGTCGAGCACGGTTAAAAGAGCTACACAAAAACCAAAAGAAAAAAAAAACATACCAAACAACTTAAAAACAACAACAAATAAAACCGAAGATATAAAACGAAAAACAATAGGCAGAAAGAAAGAAAAAGAAAATTATAAACAAAAATTGAGAGAAAAAAACCAAACAAAACCAAGAAAACAACAATTAAACGACAAATGCAAATAGCAAGCGGAAGGAGTTAAATAAATAGAGGTAGCCAATGCAAAAACTACCTATAAAAATCTAAAAAATAAATAAGTTATAATAAAAAATAAAAAACAAAAAAAAAAATAAACATAAACAGAACAGAAAACGCCGACGACTACGTTAACGCGCGCCCAAAAAAGTGTGCTACAGAAAAAGGCCAAAACCAAAACCAAAATCATTTCGAATATTTTCTCTTCGCCTGCCTGGCTTCCAAAACCTTTTTTTTTTAAATATTTTTTTTATTGTTCTTTGCTGTGTGCCAAGTGAAAAATCAAGATATAAGAATATATCTACACAATATATATATATATATGGATATATTCGTATAAGAAAAATGTAAACAAATGCTAATAAAAGAACGTTGTATGTGTGTGCGTGTTTGTTTGTTTATTAACTGTTGTGTCTGTGTGTGTAAGTGTGCGTGTGTGTTTGCTGAAGCATAAAAACAACAATAAAATATATTACACAAAAAAAAAATCAAAAGAAGAGAAACCGAAATGAGCTAAAGAAAAGTCCAGAAAATGGGATTGGGGAATATGAACAAGAAGCAGAGCGATAACAATTGCAATAAAAACAAGGACATAAACAGCAATAGCAACAACAACCAATATATATATGTGTATGTGTGTGTGTGTGTGTGTCAACGAAATCATCATCAGAATCATTATCTTCATGTTCAGTTTCAGTATTCGATGAGGCAGAATTTAGCAAGATTTTCTTTTGCTTTGCTTTGGGCAAAGTTTTTACCCAAGAAATTCTTTGATATTTTTGTGAGGAATTAGTAAGAATCTAGAGATATATATTAGATATCAGATATAAGACATCAAATATCAGATATAAAAGAGTTTCTTTTATTATTAAAATAACTCCGAAAGGGGCATCAATCATCTCTCTTAAGGCTTCTTAGATTTTAAATATTGGAATCTCAAAGAGGTTTTCAATTTTCAGCAATCTACTTTTCAAATCTATATCAGATACTACTTAATTTATTATTCGATTTTCATATTATTATTATAAAGCTTTTAGTTTAGTATTTAAAAGTTATAAAAACCAAAAGCCTATTGAAATTTCTGCCTTCTGTCTAGCAATCTCAATCTGATCTGTAAATTTAACTAAAGAGCATTTGAAATGGCTTATAGTCAGACTTAAGCCAGAACTTTGGGGACATAATTAAATCAGGTGTGTGTGTGTGTGTGTGTCCATTCAATTGAAGTTTAGCCTTAGATTTTCGACACTATTTACTAAAACACCATTTATGATGGCTGAAACCATTTTGGTTTGGCTCCAAGCTTTTGGTCACCCAAGCGAATTCATCTCATTCAATATGCTCAAGACTGCAATACCTTTTGTTCCAACTAATTGTTTATGGTTGGCTGATTGTTGTTGCTGTTGCTATTGCTGTGGGGCCTATTGTTGTTGTTGTTGTTGTTGTCGTCATGATTGTTGTTGCTCCAATCAATGAAGTCCATTTTGAGACGAGGATTTATGGTCTTTAATGAGGGGCAATGGACAAGCGGGGGGCTATATAAGGCAGATGCAAATGACTAATCTAAGCTTTTGCACACTAGCACATACACAAAACACTCACGTATCTAATACATACATATGTTTATGTATATATATATATAGCTTAATATATATATATATATATATATATATAATATATATATAGAGCATGCAATGCACGAGCACAGCTTCGAGGCAGAAGTTGTTGGCTTAGGCTTTTTGGCTTTAAATGTTGAATATTCAATTACACACATGTTTAGCAATGGCATTGGCATTGGCAGTAGTATTAAATAATGTATTTAATTAAGTTAAAGCTTGATTTGAACTTTAGATGATAGGAAGAAGATGATAGTAAGAAAAACTAAGGAAATGGAATTTTAAGCCCTAGCTATATCATAGCCCAAAGTTTAAATGGCCTTTAAGTTAGCTTAAAAGTTAAGCAATTGATTTTGAGTAGTCAAACTCAAATTAGCTCTTAAGTGACCCAACTCAAGTTCAAAGTTTTTCAGTTTTTATTATGTTTTTTTTTCTTTTTTTGAGACTCTGTCTTGACCCCTTGAACCGTTCCAGATAATTTCTTTCTTTTCGTTGGAAAAGTGTTTGAATTATGGCTGGGGGGAAAAGGCACTTTATAAAAAAATAAAAAAAACCTGCAATCACGGTTTAAGACCCACTCTCTCTTTCTCACATTCAAGGATTTTGTCAGGGTTTTTATTGTACGGCACTGAAAGAAATTTTGGGAGTTTTTTTTTGGATGTAGAAAAGGAAATAAAAGGAAAACCTTACTGGAACTTTTAGGTTTTTTCCTAAAAATGTATGAAAATTTTTACTTTTCTTAGCTTGGAAAAGGAATTTTCTTGCTAAACCATGATTAAATTTTAGATTTTTCAGACTTAACCGATTAGTAGTTATAGACTCTGATGGTGATTTCTCCAAGTGCTGGTTTCTTTATTTTGTCAGTGTGTGTTTATATCTCTCTGTGTGTGTGTGTGTGTGTTGATGTAAGAAGCAAGTGTAAATAAAGAAAAGTCGTGCCCGTTGTGCAAGCACTCAAAAGTGGCTGCACACACACGTAAACACACTCACATACACACACGTGGGTTTTCACCTGCAATCGTGGCACGTTTCTTGGAGCTTGTAGCTTCCTTCATCCAAAAACCAACCAGCTCGCCCCAACCAACCCACAGCTTCGTTTTCTTTCTTTGCTTTTTACTTGATATACTCGGGCTTTTCTTCTGCCCCTTTTCTTTTCTTTTCTTTTCTTTTCTCTTTTTTTTTTCTTCACATTTTTTTTTGGAGGGGTTCTAGGCTAAGGTTTTCAAGAAGCACTCGTCGTCATCGATGTTTGCACGTTTCGCTTTATTTATTTGGAAATCTTTTCTTATTCCATCGTCTCCGTCATGTCCTTTTCTCTTTTCACTGACAAAGTGTATTTGTATTTGCTTAAAAATCAATTACGTCATCATTGTAAAATGGCAATTGAAGATTGTACATATATAACGATGGCAACTCTGTCAGTTGGCCTGCTCTTATATAACGATGGTAACCCTGCCATTCGCCATTCCCCATTTCCCCATTTCCTCTTTCATCATTTTGCTGTTTGTTTGCCGCCACTCTTTTCCACTCCACCACTTGTGTCTATACTTATCGAGTGATATTAACGTCACTGTGACAGGGTTACCACCTACCACCATCTACGTTTATTTCGAAACCCCCCCACCCTCCCGCTCAAAAAAGAAGAAGAGAAATTTCACCTGGCATCTGTTTGTGTCACATGTCTTTTTCGCTTCTCCTTCCCCTTATTGTTTGCGCCATATTTTATTTATGTTTTGTCAATTTTTGTGCAACTTTTGCTCATCGCTTTGTGTTGCTTGCTGCCTTTTTACCCTTAACCCTTGTGACCGCCGCCGCCGCCGCCCACTACACCACCCCTGCTCTCAGTCATAGTAAATGTTATAACGCAGCAGATTTGACAGCTCCTTTGGGCCATTTCATTTGTGGCAAACTTTTTCAATGGCCGTCAAATAATGCAGCCAACATATATATATATCCAAGCCATCTGACATTGAAAGGTGTTTCTCTGTGTGTGTGTGTTTCCTAAGTGTGTGGGTGAGTGGTGGGGGCGTGGCCATAAGGGAGTTCAAATTCATTCCATTATTGTGTTGTTTTGTGTGAGATACCCAATGGGATTTCCTGGTGCTTATCATCGATAGGTTTGTGTGCTGACAATTGGGTTGGGGGAAATTGGTAATTGGATTGCTTCCAACTATTATTTGGCTCGATAAAATGTCATCGATAAATTGCTTTTTATTAGAGTTGATTTATCGATTTATTAGATGGGAAGAAATTGTCTTTTATTTTTATACTTTCATGCAGTATTATCGATATATTATCGATAACTAAATGTATTTGCTTGATAAATAATCGATGTATTTGTGTCAAATGCTATCAATATGCTATCGATTAAATTGCTTTTTATTAGAGTTTATTTATCGATTGAATCGACTTATTAGATGGGAAGAAATGCTCTTTTATTTTGATACTTTCATGCAATATTATCGATATTATCGATAAATAAATATATTTGCTTGACGAATAATCGATGTATTTGTGTCAAATGCTATCAATATGCTATCGATTAATTAGCTTTTTATTAGAGTTTATTTATTGATTGAATCGATTTATTAGATGTGAAGAAATTGTCTTTTATTTTGATACTTTCATGTAGTGTTATCGATATTATCGATAACTAAATGTATTTTCTCGATAAATAATCGATTTATTTGTGAAAAATATTCAATATGCTATCGATTAAGCCTATCCAGATGGTAAGGCAACATTTCTCGAGAGAAAGAAAGTGGAAACTTTTAAAGGCTCTCTCAGCGAGATGGCCAGATTTCCTGTTAAAAGGCAGTAAAAAGGACACGGCAAACGAGGAGTGCCAAGGTCCAATGTCAGTTTGCCTCGCCTTCCAACGGGGGATTATGACCGCCCATGAATCGGCTGAAAACATATTCCAATCTTCTCCCCCCCACTCTTCTCATTTTCTTCGACATCTTCCTGGATATCCAGCCATCCAGCCATTCAATTCGAACAGATTTCAATGAACAACAAAAAAAAGAAGGGAAAAGAGAGGAAAAACAGAAATAAATAAGAGAAATATGCAAAAACCCAGCTGAGAACTGTAATTCATTTAAGTGTTCCATTGAGTGGTGTGTGTCCAGTGTGTGTGAGTGTGTGGGCCCCCATGAAATTTCATATTTTTAATGACCATCTGAAGGGAAAAAAAAGGAGAACGTAGAGTCAATACAGCGTTCAGGCAGGGGCAGCCTCTCTCACAAAAGGCATTCTTCGATGAGGCGAAACTGAAAGCAAACATCATGTGCCGCCGTTGCGAGGGGGAAATAAAATAAAATCCATATATATATATGCATACTTTGCATATTAAAAGCAAAAAGAAAAAAATAAAAAACAACAAAAAAAGGAGAGCCTGGAAAGGA